TGATCCAGATTTCTAGATTTTTTTAAAAAGAAATAAAAGTTTTATAGTTGCCTTTTATCATTATTAATGGTAAGTATATTCTTGACAAATAGACTTTTTATTTGTTACATTTAAATTTTTTATTGTGTTTCCAAAAATGCAACCTTGCTTTCTAAATAACCTAATACATTAATTTTGTAATAATTTAAAGACAGAAATGATCAGTTCATTGCATTATATTGATATATATATATCACATTTTTGCCATTTGTCTTGTTTTAATTGGCATATTTTTGTTTGATTTTGTCTTATCTAATGTCAAATTTAAAAAAAAATTTATTTACCTATTTTACTACTTCTTCTGTGTGCCATGTCCCTTCAGGACATTGGTGATCATGGCTCTTCACTATTTCCTGTCCTTTGTAGCTCTTAATAACTTTTGTTCTTTTACCATCTCTCCCAAACCCTGAGCTGCCATCCATTCTTTCAAGCTCGCCAAGTAGGTTGTGTGTTGTTTTCCTCTGTCTCTCTTACCTTCAATCTGTCTTGTGAGGATCAAATTTTCCAAGCTCTCTTTCCTTATTATGTGCCCCAGAAATGTCCTGTCTCTTCCTGATGTTAAATATGTGTCCCTTTTGTTGCCATTGTCTCCAGAACTTCGTTGTTGCTCACATGTTTGGTTTGTGGTATTCCCAGTGTCCTTCTATAGAGCCACACTTTGTTCTTCATCTGTAAGAAAATTGTCCAGCATCCACCGTCATAGAGGAGGACTGATACTACATAACAGTTCAGGACTCTTTTCTTTGTTTCTAACAAGATTTTTCTGTTTTTTTGGAAAGCATCCTTTGCTATCTCAATATGCCTCCAGATTTCCATGTTGTACTTTCCATCCTCTGTTAAAACACTTCCCAGATATCTAAATTGTTCTACTAGATTAATTTGCGTATCTTCAATTTGTAATTTGCATGTTAGGCTGTTCCTTTTGCTAACAACCAGGCATTCGGTCTTCTTGCAATTGATGGTTAGTCCTTTCTTCTCACTTTCCTTCACTAATGTCTGTAGAAGTTCTTGTAGTTTCTATTCTATGTCTGCCATTTACACTGTGTCATCTTCATATCTTAAGATTGTGTCCACCAATAATGAATCCTGGTAGGACTTTACTCTATAGGTTGAAGAGATCTCATAAGACATATACTTGTTTTACACCCCTTTTTATTTTTGTATATTTACTGAATTTTTGCAGGCAGTTTACTGCCAGTATCAGTTCTGGATTATTCTAATATCCTTCCAACATATGTCAAGGTTACCTTGTAGTTCTTTGTGGTGTTACTAAATTTTAATATAAAAATTCTTTACCCAAAATACATAACAAATCAGACAAAAACTCCTTGCTTAGGAATTTTCATTCAGTCAATATACTTTCTCTCTGACAATTTTGTGGCAGAAAAATTCCATCATTTTGCAGTAGAAATGACTTGATGTAACCATAAGTTTGATGCTACTTGCTTGTAGAACTCTCTTATGGCTTCTTGTTTTCCAGTCAAGTTTCATCTTCAAAAATTTAAATTCAATGTCCTGTCTCCTTACCTCCTGTTCTTTTCATTGTTCTCACTCCTTAATATTGTTTTTCTTACGCTCATTCACACTCAGTAATCATTTGTATGTTAGAAGCTTTGTTGCCTTGTTTGGGGGGAGATTATTAAAAAAGGGTACAATATTTTTTTCTTGAGAATCCCAGATTCATTTTTACCTTGTCAACAGGTCTTAGAATATGCTTAGATTGCATCCTACAGAAGTTTAAGACACCCAAAAGTAACCAAATAAAAATAAAAAATGTCACCTTCTGGATATTTGCAGGTATAAACTGGATCTATATTTACCTTTTGGCTTGTGTGCAGACTTGATTTACATGCACCTATAGATGCAAGTATAAACGCAACCTAATATCTGCATATCTATTAATTCATTGTTTTTTTATACAACAATCTGACATTAAATAACATGAGTGTTGATATTGTGTCAACCAACTTAACCCAATCAGACTCAACAAAAAATAAATTAGTTTCACTGCAAACTTTTTTATCATTGCTAATAATTATGTTTATACTTGTAATGATGGAAGAAGATCTTGACAAAGAAGAAAGGATAAGTTCTTCAGATCAGGATAATATAACAGAAGACAAACCTATGAATGATAATGGGAGTAACTGAGACATGGAGGAAGATGAGATGAGATGAGACCAAGAATAGGTAATAAACCTCAAAGAGGATAAGAGGAAAGAGGTTGGAGAAGAAGTTCAAGAACAATGAAAAACATTAAACCTCTTCAGTTCAGGGATTTTATCTATTTGCATATGTTGGTTATAAGAGAAATAAAGCACAGAGTCAGGCAAGAGAAAAGTTGACTACTGCTCATGTGTCATAGAATAAGATGGTACAAAAATACTCTTTACAAATTTCACTTTTGTTATATTTGTAACATAACCTCCAATGGCAATGGTTGTAGTAATTCTCAATTATTTTATTCTTGTACCAATGAGACAAAAATACAAAAGATATATCTGGCTCCTAGCCACTCAGCTGTTTATATAAAACTGAACCAGGCAACTTATATCCCCCATTATCTAATGATATCTTTCATTTCTACTCTACATGCTCCTCCCTCCCCTGACCACAGGACGGATTAATGTGGTCAGTTGAAGGTTTGCCCCAGAATATGTGTGTGATTGTCCTCACTTTTATGGGGATTGCCCTCATGTTTCAACATAGGCATTGACTCGGGGTTGGTGTTATCCGATACTGGTGTTCTCCAATATTACTTTGTATTGGGCCCACTGAATCCGCAGTGTTGTCAATTTCCATTTCTTCTGGCTCATTACTCGTGGTATTTGCTTTGTGTTGGGCATTTGCATCACATTAGGGGTTCTGTCCCTCTGAAGTGTGATAGTTTCCCTTTGTAGCGCTATCATTTGTTGCATGAGTTGAGCAATCAAATCAAGGGTTCTGCCTGGTGCAGATGCCATGTCTTATTTTGTTAAGATAGCTCCACATATTCAGATTCTTTTCACAGCACCATATAAAATAACCATAACGCCAATGGTAGTAATAATTCTCAATTACTTTATTCTTGTACCAACGTACCAACGAGATACAAATACAAAAAATATATGTAGCCACCAACCACTCAGCTGTTTATATAACACTGAATGAGGCAAGTTATATCTGTGGAAGTACCCATTATCTAATGAGACCTTTCTACAATATTTAAAAAATTATTCTGTCTCCTAAAATGATGATTAAGTTTCTGATAAATAAATTTAATATTGGTGATATTTGAATAGGTCTTTATACTGTCTCCAAAAATGTGACATTTTTAACAATGTAACGCATATACAATAGTGACAAGATAAAAAAAAATTGACTTATTTTTTGTCAAGGCAAATATTTTTTTTCCTTTTATCAGTCCATTAAAATCTGATTATATCTTTTCAATAGAAAAGGCCATTTTTCTGAAAGAAAAGGTTTGAAATTGCAGGTCTAATCAATCTCAGCTAATGCTTGTTAGTGCAAATCCTTTAACCACAGAATAATATCACAAATAAAAGCAGCCATGATATAAAGCATAACTATTATTTAAACATTAATTTCAATGGAGATAAAACTTATATGAATGTTGCTATAATTAATGTTTACTATCAATTGAAATAATTATGAATAACATTTATAAAAAAATCTAGACAGAAAATCTGGAATGGAGCCCTGAAGGCATTTGGCTCTCAACACTGACAACTTTCTGGTAACTTCTGCAGCCAGATTTATGCTTTGGGTCTTGTTGGTGTGACCCAGAAGGGGCCATGTAGTCTTGGCAGTGCACAGCCACCCTGAGGAGGGTCTCACCACCCAATGAGAGCTCAAAAATTTTAACCAAACAGGGTGCTACAATTATCTAGTGAGATAAATCGATACCTAGAATAATATAACATTTTTTTGATAGATTAATGCATTTTGTTAAATTGGTCAAATAAACAACTTTTTTGAACCAAAGAAACACCATATCTTGGAGGGGGAGAATAGAACTGAAGAAAATTTAAACATTTACTTGTATTTGGTCCACAAAAGTACCAACTTTCCTCATTTTTGTTGTTTTTATCACAATATTTTGACCACTTTTTTTTTTCTCTGTAAGTTTTTCAGATGAGTTATTTTTTTAACTAATGTTCACTCAACACAAGGGCCAAAGAAGATAGACAGCTAATTCTAGACATGAAGAGGTCAAGATTTGATTTGGGAATAAAATTTCAGAGTTCAGGTGGAGACGTTAGAAGTATAGAATTGAAGTAGACTTTAGAAGGGACCGGAAACCAAATTCTAAACAGGAAACATGGATAAACCTCTACTCCTGTTCAAAAGACTGGGGAGGAGTGTGAACTGGACGATAGGCAAACCTATCTACTCCTATTGGGAAAGGAAAAAACAAAAAGATAATAGTAATTACTGAATAAAATTTCAGACTGAGATGTCAGAAGTGCAGAGTTTAAGGAACCAGAAGCTGAATCCTAAACAGGAAACAAGGGATAAACCTGTTCAAAAAAATCGTGGAGGAGTATGAACTGGACGATAGATAAGCTTATCTACTTCATTTCATTCAAACCACTTTTTTTCATTTTTGTTTTCTTCATCCCAATGCTTCATTCACTTCACTCTTTAGAAAAGGGAATAAGAAACAACGTATAAATGTGAGATTACAAGGTGAAAGCAAATAATACTTACTTTGATAAATAATACTTTTAATTACCAGAAGATATGAGGAAAGTTTATACAAGTATGACAAAAGTTAGTAGACACATTTTCAAACAAGACCCTTTACACAGCATTTTAGGAAATTTCATGATTTGAATATACATTTTATCAAGTTATAATATGTGAGGGAATTAATGGTAACTACGTTTTTTTTTTCTTTTTACACGGATGTTCACTATGGATATTATTTTTTCTCCAATTATAATCTTTATTCCTGTTAGGTTTCAGGCACAGCATCCCGTTATGATTCTAAAAGAGCCTATCACCATTTTACCTTATTGCTTGATGTTGACAAGACTCACCTAAACACTTTGTTGCAACCATGTCTTGTAAGTATATTTTAGAATGCATTTTACTTTTGTTGCACACATGTCACAAATTGCATAACATTTTTCTTCTCTTTACAAATTTTCAGTTAATTTCCAGATATAAATTACTTTTGATTTTTAAAGAATCCCTATTAAGAATAATAACTGAAGTCAGTATGAATGACTGTGATATGATTTTCTGGCAACTTACTGTACTACATTGCTTTTAATCCAAATTATGTGCACATCTACAGGTCTGCTGGAAGATGACAAATTTTGGTGGACTTGTGCAATACACACTACAACTAGAAATAATCACTTTTCTAAATTTTTTTTTTCTATCATTATAGATTAAGTACTCTAGATCATGAATATTTAAAAAAAAAATTCATTAACTTTTATAAAAGTTAATAGGGTAGTCAGTTTGGTGTGTGAATTCATTGTAAATTGATCCCTCCTATGCATTTTTTTTTAAATTTAAAAAAATAATTTTTTTTTTAAATTGTAAAAGGAACTTTAAAATTGTAAAAGGAAGTTTATAAATTTCTAAAATTGTGTTCAATAAAAAAAAATATTTAAAAAAATCACATTGGGAGCAATTATATAATTTATGGCATGAAATATGGAAGAATATAAGAGTCAAAGCAATGAAAAAGTTTCGTTTTACTATTAAATTTGGACAACAAATATATGTGTGTATATATATATATATATATATATATATATATATATATATATATATACCAACTTGGTGTTAGTGGACCCAAATCAATGAGTATGGGTATGCATCTACATATATGTATGTATGTGTGAGCGAACGTCAGAGAAAGACCACCCCCACCTGTTCCTTGTTAAGAAAACATTGCTACATATGTAACACTACAATCTTGACACTGAAATAGAATGAAATAAACCCTTTATTTCATCCACTAGGGTAGATTGTTCTAGTTCCACATGCCATGCCTTTTCTGGATATCTCAGTTTCAGTTAATTCCCTTTAGTAACTCAACTCTCCAAGTTTTTGCTCACCTCTGCTGTGGCCAGGGATTGAACTCATAACTCTTACTGTGTAAAGAAAGGGATCGTCTACTGCCTACAACATCAAGCAAAAGTCATAAGTAACAACCCAGAGATATATGAACAAGAAATGATCAGTATAAGCAGTACCCTACAACATAAAAACTATACTGGGTACATGACAGCAGCTCCAACAAACTGAGATAGGAGGGTGCAAGCAGATAACAACACTCAGAAAACAGCCTCGGTCTGCCTACCCTATATGAAGGGATTGTCGGAAATAATATAGAAGGTCTGTGGTCCATATAACATCAGGATGACCTTCAATGGTGGTTCAATACTTTGCAGGCACATCTTCCAAGTAAGACCACTCATAGAGGAGAACATGATTAAGGACTGTATGTACACCATCCTATGCAGCTGTTGGAAGAAACAAGCTGCCTCCTTAAGATAAAACTGCAGAAACATCGTAAAGTCATAACACGAGGGGAAATAGAAAAATCAGACGTAGCTAACCATATATGGAGGGAAAATGGAGATCACCACTCCCTGTGGGATGAGATTGAAATAAATCTCATAAAAATCTTCTAAACTGGCTAAGCATAGGATACAATACATGAATACAATATGAGAACCTGTAATAAAGAGTGCTAGAGAAAAACAACAATAATAACAAATTGTAATATATTTACTGAGACATTAGGTTTATAAGTCCTCAAAATTCATACATTGATTGTCCCCAAGGACACATGGCCTAGTGGATAAAAGTGTTGGTTGAAGTAATCCAATAATTTGTGTATTTAATACCTGGCCATACCAGAGGTGAACAAAAACTTGGAGGGTTGAGTTACTAAAGGGAAATATCCAGAAAAGGCATGACATGTGGAACTAGAACAATCTACCCAAGTGGACAAAATAAGTGGTTCAGTTCAGAATCCTGACGTATATCACCCTTAGAAGGCTGGAGCATACAATGGCTGAAATATCCTGAATATGTTAATAAAGATGAGAACAAGTCTGAAAAATGTAAATAGTTTAATTAATTTTTCTTATTTTAAACTGGATATAAATATTGTAACATAAAAAGTATTTTTTTTAGTTATTTAAAATCTGAAAGTTCTTCAAGATTATTTGCAAAGATTTGCCTAACAGCATTAAAGTTTTTGTTTTGCATGTTTGTCTAATGTCTTTTGATGTTCTTGATGATAATGATGAGTGTTTATATTCCAGTCTGGCATTGTAGGAAATCCTGCAACAGCAAGTATACCTGCTAGTACAGTGAACCTGAAAGAAATTGAAGATGAATTGACCTTTGATAATGTAGTAGAATGTGTTGGTGATTATTTTATTTCTAAAGGCCTCCCTATTCAGGTAAAGTTGAAAGTTTGATTTGTTCTTTCCAAATACAAATATCTCATCATCTGTTGAAGCTTTAAACTTAGTCTTTCTTGTCAACAGTTGGTCCAGTTTCCAAACTTTTGAGTTCAAACTAAAAATAATTTACAAAATATATTTCAATAAAGAAAAATACAATTTTGTTTTTAAGCATTTCACCACAAGCAAGGCAATAAAGCCACTAAAATGCATAGAAGTGGTGATGGTGGCGGGGCAGGGGATGTGGTTACTGGGTATGAAGGAATACAAGAAAAAGAAAAACATCATTAAGGAGCAAGGAAAATAAAAGTACAAGAATTAAGAAAACAGTTCCATAGGTGAGAAATGTAAGAAAGAAACTGTTATCATAGAACTTACAGTTACAATGAATCATTTCAACTGTAAAATGATGAGACCTTGCTGCCAATCTAGTACTGCACTTAAATTCATAAAGTCTAGGTACCATAGAGGAAAGTTGATCAGAACAATTACCATGAAAGTATTTATAGAAAAAGGCATAGGAAAGCTATGTTATGGGGATGAGAAAGTGACTGAAGCTGAGATGACAGATCAGGACCAATGACATTGATAAAATCCAAAGAATTTGCAAAGATCTCTAACTATATAGCAGGAGCACCAGACCATATGTTACAGCAATATTCAAAGCATGGACTAATAGTAGACTTATTAATATGTAAGATAGATTAAAATTGTCTAGCATGACACAGTGAACCCACTTTCCTGGCAGAAAAATATACCTTTTTTTCTTTTTTACAAAACTGCTCTCTATTAATTGTTTCAGAGTGTGCTTTTTTCCTTCTGTCAGTATGGCTGATGCTAGCCTCCAGGAGAGTGACTCATTGCACCTTCTCAGGCTAACGTTTTCTGCTGGCATGAAGTGGAACGATTATTTTGAGTCAGTTTCTAGGTCTGCAGCTATTAAAGTTGGTTCACTGTGTAGTGCTAGACAATTTTTCTTGCAAAAATCTAACGTACACTTTGTAAAGCCTACCATTCACCAATGCACCAAATATTGCTGTTACATCTAGTCTGGTGCTTCTGTTATGTTATCAGTCCTGATCTGGCACCTTGGTTCAGTTATTTACACACTGTTGAAACAGAGCTTCCCTATGCCTTTTGTAAAAATATCTTCCTTGCTTGGGGTGAAATGATAAAAACAAAATATTCATCTGTTGAATTAATTCACATAATTTTCATGTATGCCCATGTTTGTTTGTTTAAATAAAGCAAATGAAAAAAAAACACTGCTTACCTATCAGTGACATAACTCTAGTGATAAATATTGGGAAAGGACAGGCTTTTATTTAACTCATTCAATTTTTCTTTCTTTGAATTTGGAAAGGACAAATATTCAGCAAACATGGACTCTTGTGCCTGCAAACAAACAGAGTGTCAAAAAGGACAATTTTTTTCCCCTGACACTGCTTTTATTTCAATTACTCCTCCTCCTCCTCAGTAATGTTTATTGTTTTAAAAATCAACAATTAGAATTGTAATAAAACCTAATCCTATGATAAAAGTGAATTTATACATTTTTTATGTTCTTGAGAATTTACAACAAAAATATTAAACACTATTTATTGGATTGTTTATTTACAAGAAACACACATGGCCCAGTGGATAAAAGTGTTGGTTGATTGATCCAAAAAGTGACTTGTCCCAAAGAGTTGTGAGTTCAATACCTTTGCTGGCTACAGCAAAGAAAACAAAAACTTGGAAACTTGAGTTATCAAGAGGAATTAACTAAAACTGAGATACCCAAAAGGCATGGCATGTGGAATTAGAACAATCTACCCCTGTGGACTAAATAAAAGGTTTGGTTCAAAATTCCAACAAATATTGCCTGAAGAAGGCCAGAGCATACAATGCTGAATATGGCAAAAAAGATGAGGACAATGTAAATAGAATAATTTTATATATATATTAGTGTGTGGTAGTGTAATGGATAGTGGCTTGAATTGAGGAATTGGAGAGCCAAGTTCAAATTCCAGTCAAGTTCATTACATTCACTAACATGCAAATACCATTGGGATAGGTATGAATCCATCTCTACACCCCCTCAGCTATGGGTAAATAGTAGGACAAACTAGGCCCTATAGCCTTGGTTGGCAACCAGTTTAGAAGGACAACACTGAATTCCAAACCTGAGGAGGATCATTTGGAGACCTGTATTTGGTTCTTCCAAAAAGGGTTGTTGATTCTGCATAAGCCTTTGCTACGATAATCAAATCATATTTGTGGATAGTTCTTAGAATTGAATATCTGTTGAAACTTGACTAATGCATGGAATAATAATGCAACACAAAATGTACTTAGAACAAAATGTATTGAAACAAGAAAAGTGTACACAATATTTACATATAGTCTTTTGTATATTCCTGGTAAGACCGTTCCTGGAGAATGTGTTGACTGAGTCGCAGTCGGGCAGAATCTCTGGTTGAATCTCTTGATTCCTCCCTCTCTTCCCGGTACCAACCATATTTATATGGTCGGTACTCCACTATGCAAATTAGGTGGATCCTACCACAACAATATCCAAACTGAATTGCTGTAGAGTCACATATGTCGAAAATATTGGCAGAGTCCTGTATATATTGTTTTCTTTATGCCCTTTATTGTAACTTGATAGAGTTGACAAACTTGGAAAAACTAAAAAAGAAACTTCATTCTTTTGAAATGTTTTTGTCTAATTCATTTAATTTTACAATTGGTTTTTCATCTGTCTTCAAATGGATTTCACCAAGCAAGAGAAAGGGGTTCAGCTCTTGGAAGCTATTTTGCTTCAGAAATTAGTTGGAGATTCGTCTCCAGCTAAGCTAAGCTAGTCGAACTCTCTGCTTTCAGACAGAGAGGAACCCAGATGAGGCTATGCCAAAGGGCAGAGTCTCGTCTGGGGTGGTAGACAGCTACCCAACCCCGATTTTTACAGGATCTACAGGGAATTTTTGCCCAAGCCCATAGGCTCAAGTTTTAACCTTGCATTAAAAACGGCCTTGTGTCACATCCTGCCTCGTGGGGAGGTGAGGTAAATAACGTTGGAAGCTATTTTATATAGATACCTACCTAAGATAACAATGAAGACTTACTGAAAAATTTTTTTTTCTTCTTTCAACACATAATAATCAGGGGGGTTGCAGTCTAGGGAGTTAGATGGCCAGATGTAAAGGGTGATGTGATCACAGAAATTGTCTGACAGAGTCCTGTTGTCAGACCTAGGTTCTTCCAGCAGCCACCCTCTGACCCAAGACAGCACTACCTCCACAAGGCATTTAATGTAGGCCTCCATGTTGAGAAGATGAATGGAAGACATAACATTGCCATCACTAGTGATCATTCCAAACAACTTTGTAATCACCATCCAACTCTTTCTAAATCCTCTGCACTGTCCTCAGATTGACACCAAAACGTTCTTATTGGAGCTTCTGACTTGAATGCCAAGCAGTACATCATGCCATTTCTGAACAGAGTGAATTGTGTCATGGTGCTCTTTTTCTCACAGATGGGTGCCCAACTGACCCTACAATACTGTGCAGTTGACACAATTAAAAACAAACAACATGCATGCACAAAATTAAAAATATAAAATGACGACAATTTACCTATCGCACCCTGTATATATTGTTTGAAAAATTGAGTCCCTTCTTGGGGTGCTTGTTGTTAACACATTTTATCTGATCCATTCTTCAATCCCTCTCTGATGAAAATTCCATGTGTAAAAGCTCTCTGGAAAGAACTGTTTTTTTTTTTACAACCATTAAAATACATTTTTTTCTTATTTTATTTAAATCAAAACTAAAAGAAAACCTCATTAAATTATAAACAATTCTTGCTCTTTTTTCCTCCTTCTTGCAGAGAGCTGGCATACAATATGCGGAACCAACAGAAGACAAAAGATATCCAGGTCTACATACAATTGTCAGTGAACTTAGAGACTGGACATGGGTATACGGCAAGACACCTGCCTTCTTTCTCTACCGTAAATTTTGTCTAGATCTTCCCACAGGCAAAACGACATTCGAACTAAGCTCATATATTAAAGACGGTGTCATCACAAAGCTACAATTTACGTCATTTCCCTTGCATCCACCATTAGAACTAATTGCTTCAAAGTTATGTGATAGGATAGAGTCTCAAAGACTGTGTCAGAGACAATTGGATTCATTACTGAATGAACTTCAGTTAACACAGCCTGATAATTCAAAGACATCAGTATTTAATTTGAATAAACAAATTATATCCTGTTTTAGGAAATTATTGTTAGAATGAACATAGTCTCTGTACTTAAAGAAAAGCAAGAAATTATTTGACCTCATTTATAAAATACAGAATGTGGAAGAAATTTCATCCTGTAATGTCTTGTTAGTTGAAGAATGGACAGGCAATGAAGAAAGTAAAGTATTTTTTGAAACGCTAATTTATCTGAAAAGTAGTAAGAGATGACTCATTTTGTATCTATCGTTGTTTTCTGAAGCAATCATGAATGCAAATATCTAAATAAGATAAATTATTTGAATAAATAAAAACAAAAGAAAATTGAGACAGTAAATGAAACTAGAAAATAAATTTCCTTATTTCATTTCAATAACAGGAACCTGTCAAGATTCATTTCTGTGGAAATTTAAAAAAAAAATTAAAATGGTATAAATTTGAATAATCATTATTGCAGAAAGAGAAAACAAACAAAAAATGTGCTAAAAATATTGTGGTTTATTTAAGTAAGCAATTATATAACAACCAGAGTATTAATAATAATTAATAATATAATTAATAAATATCAGATTTCATTTACTTTTCATTGTTTAAAGAATTGTCAGTTTTGTTTGGAATATTAATAAAATAGCAAAATATTATTTTATAAAAATTTTTTTTTTACTTAGTTTCTGCCTGAATTTTGAGGATGAGGAGTTCTCATTATTTACATTCAAGCTCACAATCTACTCTTTTAGATCAGTGCTTCTTAATTTGGGTTCAATTGAACTCCAGGGGTTTGGTGAGTCATTCTCAGGAGTTTGGCGGAGGTCAAGACATGTCAATGATGAATACCTTGACAAAATCATTGAACTTCACCAGAGCCAGGTTCAACAGCAACACTTCAAGGCTGTCAATGATGTTTTGGTGTTACCAAATCATAGTGTACCCTCTTATTACTAAGAAAGTCCTTGAGATACTCATACTGTTTGTTACAATGTATCTTTGCAAGCAATTCTTTTCAAGGATAGAAGACATGAAAATGAAGAAAAGGAACAGACTTTGTTATAAAAATGATATGCGAGTGTCACTTGCCAAAGTGAAGCTGCACATTTCTGAAAGGCAACAGCAAAAGTCACATTGATTTACAGTAAATATTCATTATGTTTTTGTCTTTGTCATGTTTTGTTGGTTTTGTTCTTTGAACAGAGTGCTTTTGTGTGCAACTGATGTATGCTTCATTTGTGCAATAATAACATATATACGTATGTTTTGAAGAAATCATTTTTTATTTTTCCAATAACAAAGTGTTCAGTGAATGCATGGATGAAACTTATGGGGTTCAGTACGTCCAACAAGGTTAAGAACCACTGCTTGAGACATGGAATGTGGAATGAGAATAAGCTACCCCTGTAGATTAAATAAAGTGTTCACTCTGAAATTTGCCAAAGGTTACACAGATTGACTGATTGCTGAAGAAAGCCAGCGTGCACAAAAACCAAAATGTGATAATAGCAACAAAGAGGACATTTGTCCAAATGTAAATAATAATTTTTACTTAGTTAATTATGCTTTCCTTTCTATTTAATTAAGAATAATTTGTACATCATTTGTTCATTCTGCTTTGAAACCATTGAAAAAAGTAGATTAACGAGAGGCTAGCAATGTTTCATCTCATTCAGCATCTTGTTACACCACTGCTATTTTCATAGAAGATGTTCAGGCAAACTACATTCCTTGGTTCTATCAATTCAGACCTTCACAGCTAGGACATGCCATACCCACATACACTAAATTGGTTCATCTAAATTCCCTTCAAATTCCATTAGTAAGGAGTAAGTTTCACTCAGACAGCTTCTGTCCTTAAATTGTTGCAATGTGGATTGGACTCTCAAGGGAAAGCTTCCGAGATCACTACAATCTTAATCGCTTCAAGTTGAGGGTCAACTGTTATCTATCCTACATATCCTTATAGTATGCATTTCATCCTTGATTCTTCCCTATATGCCCTGACAACATCCTCCTATTCAGTAACCCACTACTTTAGGTGGCTCTTGAGTCTTGTATTGGGGGAACAATAGTATTATATATATATATATATATATATATATATATATATATATATATATATATATATAATAGGACTTGACTTTCTGTTAAGGTTTGCCAGATGGGCACTACTTAAATAGTATGGTCCACTTGTAGGTAAAAGAAATAGGGAAAATATTTTTGTAAATAAATTTTATAGATTACAAGTCATTAGACCTTATTCAAGAAGCAGCATTTGTCAGAATCAAAAAATGGATTTTTTTTTAATAATTTTATAAGGTGTGTCCTGTTTGTAATACTGATACAGTATAAAATTGATCCCTGACTTTTTATAGAGTTATTGGACCTAGTCATTCTGCATGTGAATTTTTTTTTTTTACCAAAAGATTTCTTTTAAATGAAGAACAAATGATTATGAACATTTTTACTAAAGAACAAAAATTTACATAAATTAATAAAAGTATCAATTTAAGATAAATAATTATCCCCTAATGTTTGTGTAGGTGCTTCTTAAAATATCCCCACCCCAAGAAATTTTCAAAGAAAAGGTAAAAAATTTCAGAAAATTAAAAATAAACATAAAACATGCAGATATCAATAACACAAGAAGCATAGTTTCAAACGTAACAACTGCATTGATATTATGAACTAAACACGCCTAAAATTATTAAAATATCAAAATAAAAAAAAAAGTTCTCAACACACTTCAAATTGAAAAGGAAAAAGGAAAAATCAATATTTTTCAATTCTGACAAATTTTGTGGTTTGAGAAATGAATACTAATTTAGAAAATTATTCCCTGGGATTTCTTCTCTGTTTTATAAGTGGACTAGTCTATATAAATTGTACTGCCAGATGAAATGTAAAGCAGTATTTTAAGCAAAATGAACATTTGTTTTTAATCAAAATATGCATTTACAATTATCTTAAAGTATCTTACACTTAATGATATATTAAGAGAAATTGAATCTTATTATCATAAGCTTTGATGAGTACAAGTCAAAATGATGCACTTTTTGATTTTCTGTCAGTTTAGATGAAATTCATTCATTGAATATTTTTTACTTTCTCAGTCAAATGATATGAAATTCTTATAAAAGAAATTCTAATGTTTGATGAATAACCTTCAATCTTTCTGCGGCAATTATTCTCAACAATTTGTTTGCTCAAGTATTTTTTTCATCATATTTCAGAATCATTCTTCACTTTCAATGGCTGAAAGTTTAACATTGAAATAAATATGAGAGTAGTTCCAAAAGTAATGCCTTCTATTAGATTTCATTGGTCCATAAGCTCAGAGGTAGATGTTGGTGGTATGACAGTAAAAGTTGAGCCTTCCTTCCAATAACCCATTTTTTTGCTTTGATCCAGATAGCAGCTGAGCAGCAGTTTGGCAAAATAGCGTCTGACATGAAAGTATATATGAAATGAAGGTTTATAATTGAATACCTACATGTAGAGAGAACTGTACCCATTGACATGTTTGTTGGATATTTGCAGAGATTAAACAATGGATTTGAGCACTGTTAGGCAGTAGGTAATGTGTTTCAGCAGTAGTAACAGTGATATATGTGACGAGCCACATAAGTAGTTTTAATTGATTGATTTGTTTTTCTATCGCTTATCAACCCTTTAGGAGTTCCTTAAATCCAAAACATATTTTGGACTGTATAAATGTTTCCTTTTTAATGATTGAATATTGCATCAGCAATTTTTTGAGAATAACACCAACTTTTTTCCAGATGCAAGTCCTACTGTTTAATCTATAGTTGGGGAGAGCAGATGTCATCATACCTTTTCCATACATGATTGAATGTAATGAACCTGACTGGAATTGGAACTGGGTTCTCCAATTCCAAACTGCTATTCATTATGCCACCTAATTTATAAGTGGAGCACATAAGCTTTTGTTGATTACTGTTAAAAATACATAACCAAAGGTGGTGACTGTGGTAAGAATAAGGTTTTGCAGCTAAAAACTTGCTCCATCCAGTAGTGTTATTGTGCTCCTTGTATACATTGTACTTTCTGTGGAAATAAACAGGAGCTATTACTTTCAGAGTGTTCCACATTTTTAAGATGTATCAAAAGTATTTCCATTATTTTATTTTTTAATTATTTATTATTGTTTTCTTTGTGGGGGGGGGAGTGAAGGTGATATTTGTTCCAATTGTTATTGAAGCACTAGGAACAGTTTTAAAGAACCTATGAAAAGGGATATTGGAACTAGAAATTAAGGGGAGAATTGAAAACACTCAAATGACTCACTGCTAAAACCCACTAGAATACAGAGGGGAATCCTGGAGTTTTGAGAAGACTTGCTACTGTTTGAACCCTAGTGAAACCCACCAGTTATTACTGGGGTGAAAACCTGATTGGAAAATATTATTAATGAGCGTGAGAGTAGTACAACAACAAATTACTGCTAGTGTACAAATATACACAATCCAATATATCCATCATGTCACCCAGTTTGATAAGTGTATACCAGGTACATGTGCCACAGCCAAATATGCAGCAATATGGTGACAGGTGTTGATAAAAACAACACACAACCTTGCAGGTAGGATTCAGAAATATCTTCTGGTCGATTAACCCAGTATGTTCTGATGGCTTCCTATTGAGAGTGTTTCCAAGTATCTAGATGGGACGTCCCAAGTCGCCTTGGCTGCCCCATCCTTCAAACAAAGAAAAGAAAATTTTTTCAACACATGGCTATGATGCTCCCCCACTACTCCCACTCAAGAACAGAAATGCACAGTGTGTCAGCCTTTAGAGGACACACTTAACTGGTTAGAGTCAGGCAATTGACAAACAAATTTGTGGTACTATTTTTATTTTTTTTTTAAATCAAGTCACTCCAAGCAAGGCAATAATGCCACTAAGATGCAATGGGCTACTGGGAGTGAAAGAGTATGAGAAGAGTTTAAAAGGAACCAGACACCCAAAGTGTAAACAAGGGATAAACCTTTACTCCTGAACAGGATATATATAGTAGTCTGTCTTACTTCAACAAGACAAAACATATACCTGTTAAAATTTCCAATCAATTATGATAAAAAGCCATGAGAGTAATGACTGGCATAAAAGTATCAACAATAATAATAATGTGTAAAGTAAAAATACAGGATTGGAGCAAAGATCATCTGATCGTCATACAGTTTTAATCATTTTATCAGTATAAAGTAAATATATCCAGTTAATCTGTAAACATCTTGCTAAAAAGAGATTTTTCAACACACCTGAAGTAAAATTAAATAACAAAATGTCCCTTTTTATCGTGCTAGTTTTAATCACCAGTCAAGTAGACTTCTTACTGAAAAGAAGGATCATCAAAATAGATTATTGTAGGATTAGGGGCTTTATCCGATTAAACAGTTTTCCTTTTCAATAGTTACAAAAATAGCCTACACTCATTCTTATATTTGTAAGCAAAGGATATATGGTTCGATTCAACGAGAAACTGGCTTATGTTCAAAACAGGTCAATGATATATGGCGTGATTTCACCTTAACACAAAGTATATATCAGATACAACAAAAACAAATGTGTTTTGCGATAATAGCCAATCTCCAGAATTGAACATTTGCTTGCCACTAAAATGTGTTCATGATCTTCATAACTGAAGTAGCAGTTCTTTCAGTAACAATTATGTAAGATCAGCTGAGAAAATAATGACAAATTTGGAAATAATAGTACATTTTAGTAAAAAAATAATATTGAAAATAGAAAATTTTACTCAATATTTCTGTTCTAAATTTATTTTCATGTTTACTGGTCCCAAAATAATAATAGAAATTAGAGTTATGCATCAATTCAGTTAATTAGTAAACTTGATCATAATGCACTACAAACAGCTTGTATCATTAATCAAACACTTGAAAATACTTCTATAGATGAACAATATGTTTTTA